TACCACAGATCAGTCTGAAGTTAAACAAATCTTAGATTCCAAATACTCCAGGGTGAGGCTTCGGAGGAAAGATGTTGGATACTTTCCACGGATGTCTTCGCTCCTCGCTCCAGCAACATTGTTTCATCAGACATTTCCCTCCAAGCTTGCCCTTAAACCAACTGTGAAACTGTAAATTGAGGGGTTTTGCCTCTTATTTTTCAAGCTCCTGCACTGCCAGGCTCCCTGACACTTGACTGGTTGCACCTCTTGGTCCCTCTTGCAGCATCACAGTCATAGGCGCTCCTCTCCTAAATCCTATTTAAAGGATTTACAGGTACATGTCCAGTGCCAAAGCGCACTTTCATCTGCTTCAAAATCTCCTTTTCTGTGCACTTGTTTTCAGCCTGTTTCTTGGTTCCCATGTACTGTACCAGCCTTTGCTGTCAATTTGGATTTGCTTGCTTGTTGCCTGCCTATATTCTGTGTGACAGAAGTAACTTTGGGTGGGGGGCCCATGGAACCCAGCTCACTTTAGAGAGACAGGGAGACCCCTGTCTCAGCTCCCCATATCCCTCTTATGTGTAAGTCACCCTGTGCCTGTTAGGGTATAGGGTGAAATGTCCTAATATTGTGCAGACATGTATAGGTGGGGGTGTGGGGGTTGTTCATTGTTTAATGCCATGTGGTTGTCCCATTGTTCTATTGTGTGTCTTGCTTGGGAGCAAACTATTATGGGATGTACAGTGAGGAACAGAAGTATTTGAACACCCTGCGATTTTTATCCTACTTAGAAATCATGGAGGGGTCTGAAATTCACATTGTAGGTGCATTCCCACTCTGAGAGACAGAATTGTTAAAAAAAATTCAGGAAATCACATTGTATGATTTTTAAAGAATTTATTTGTCTTGCACTGCTGAACAGAAGTATTTGAACACCTGAGAAACAGCAAGAATTCTGGCTCTCAAAGACCTGTTACTGTACCTTAAAAAGTCCACCTCTACTCCACTCAATAATCTAAACTTAGTAGCACCTGTCTGAGCTCTTTAAAGACACCTGTCTACCCCACAGTCAGTCAAATGCCAACTACTACCATGGGCAAGACCAAAGAGCTGTCAAAAGACACCAGAGACAAATTGTGGACCTCCACAAGGCTGGAAAGGGCTACGGGGCAATTGCCAAGCAGCTTGGTGAAAATCAACTGTTGGAGCAATTGTTAGAAAATGGAAGAGGCTAAAGATGACTGTCACTCTTCTTCGGACTAGGGCTCCATGTAAGATCTCACCTTGTGGGGTATCACTGATGATAAGAAAGGTGAAGAATCAGCCCAGAACTACAAGGGAGGAGCTGGTCAATGACAAGAAGAGAGCTGGGACCACAGTTTCAAAGGTCACTGTCGGTAGAACACTACGTCGTCATGGTTTCAAATCATACATTGCACGGAAGGTTCCCCTGCTCAAGTCATCACATGTCCAGGCCCGTCTGAAGTTTGGCAGTGACCATCTGGATGATCCAGAGGAGGCATGGGAGAAAGTCATGTGGTCAGATGAGACCAAAGTAGAACTTTTTGGTCTAAACTTCACTCGTTATGTTTGGAGGAAAAAGAAGGATGAGTTGCATCCCAAGAACACCATCCCTACTGTGAAGCATGGGGGTGGTAACATCATGCTTTGGGGGTGCTTTTCTGCGAAGGAGACAGGACGACTGCACTGTATTAAGGAGAGGATGAATGGGACCATTTATTGTGAGATTTTGAGCAACAACCTCCTTCCCTCAGTCAGAGCATTGAAGATGGGTCATGGCTGGGTCTTCCAGCATGACAACGACCCGAAGCACACAGCCAGGATAACCAAGGAGTGGCTCCGTAAGAAGCATATCAAGGTTCTGGAGTGGCCTAGCCGGTCTCCAGACCTAAATTCAATAGAACATCTTTGGAGGGAGCTGAAACTCCATGTTGCTCAGTGACAGCCTGGAAACCTGACAGATCTAGAGGAGAACTGTGTGGAGGAGTGGGCCAAAATCCCTGTTGCAGTGCAAACCTGGTCAGGAACTACAGGAAACGTCTGACCTCTGTAATAGCAAACAAAGGCTTCTGTACCAAATATTAACACTGATTTTCTCAGGTGTTCAAATATTTATGTTCAGCAGTGCAAGACAAATACATTGTTTAAAAATCATACAATGTGATTTCCTGAATTTTTTTTAACAATTCTGTCTCTCAGAGTGGGAATGCACCTACAATGTGAATTTCAGACCCCTCCATGATTTCTAAGTGGGAGAACTTGTGAAATCGCAGGGTGTTCAAATACTTCTGTTCCTCACTGTATTTGTTTGTGTATTGGCTTGGTGGGGGGTGTCTGCTGTGTGTGTCTTGTTACTAAATGTATTGCCCCACCCTGTGTCCTTATGCAGGGAGGTGGGTTGTTCTCTTGAATGTTTATATCTTGTGTCTGTGTTAAAATAAAGCAGTCTATCTCCTGGTTTCCTTCAAGTCTGGTGCTGTCTCCTCTTGTATGGCCATCGGTGGTGTCCGTGGATCTGTGTTCGGACAGGGAAGTGGGAGTCTAACAGAAATACCCTAGTGCAGTCGGTGTATGGTTCTGTTACATTCTGGTTCTCCTTCACCTTATGCTGTGCCAGTGAAGTCCGCATTCTTGCTGTCTGGTCCGGCACACTACTATGCTGGGGTCTGCAGTCCTGCTGCTTGGTTTGGTTCGCCATTCATCCAGTGTACTATTGTGGTGACGTTCGCAGTCCCACTGCTTCCTCCTCTTAGCTGCTGTTTCATGTCCCAGCCTTCTCCTGGGAGCTCCCAGTCCTAACTTCCACTAGATTGCCCTGCACTCCTCTGCTACTACAAGTGTGGGTTAGACTCCACATGTTAGTGCAGGGTAACTCCAGATTTCCCGGTCTGGGGTCAACACACAGCTACGTCCAAACCTGCATATTCCTAGTGGAGCACTGACTCCCCTTAGAGTTGATGTTAACCTCAGACATGAAATATGAACAAAGCATACCCCATATAGTGTGTATTTATTAGTGTGTATTTGTCTCAATCCAGTGCACTAAGTGTCATTTCTGTTGCTGACTTGTTCCTCTGCTGTCTGCATGAGTCACTTCTGACAAGTTTTCACACCAAAAGAAAAAAAGGGAACAGGGAAGAGAGCTCAAGCACACAGCTTATGATTGACAGCTTGCAGCTTTGTTTCTGTGTGCAGTGTGAGGAGGGTGTGTCCCTTCCCTCCAATCAGCTCTCAGAGCTCTCCTCACTAAGCTCTGCAGTGTGTCATTTCAGCTATCTGCCCCCTGTGTTCTGACAGCTCAGACAAACGTTATAAAGTCTGGATTTTAAACAGGCATAGAGAAGAGGAGACTGCAGATAAACAGGTACAATTTATATAGGAGGATTTGTTTCATTTTTGTGTATCACACGAGGCCAATCACTTCACTGGATATATATGAGGATTTACAAACACTTCGCACACTGGGGGATCCCACATCACTTGTTCACACATGCGTTCACTTCATTCACCTTCATGACGAGAGATGGATGTGCAGCTTTTTCTTTATTTTGCTTCAGAGTTTTCATTCGAAAGCAATATTCTGCCCTCCTTTTCCTTTATTTTCCTTTAAGAACACATAAGAGGAATCTGATGACACAAGCTGCATTGTGCCTGATCTTTGAACAAAGTGGCTTTTATATAATCCTAGATTTGAAAGTGACACTTCAGGGTAAAATATGCGGCTTATCAAAGCTCACTTCAAAGTCTAAAGTGCTTGAAAATGTGCAGATATAAGACCAAATGTATTGAATGATAACAATCGTTATTTCCCATATTGACCTTTACATAAGTTATAGCTACTGTAAGCCCTGGTTCACACCGGTGTGACTTCAGGTGTGACATCCGCAGGGGCGGACTGACAACTCATGGGGCCCCCGGGCAATAGGGGATCATGGAGCCCCTGTGTCCTTGCCCAAACTCAAAAAAGTCTATGAAAAAGGTACCAGGGGCATCTCTTGGGGCCCCCTACTGACCCCGGGCCCTCGGGCAGTGCCCGAGTTTCCAAATGGTCAGTCCACCCCTGGACATCCGATTTATAAATCGCACCTGAAGTTGCATCTAATATATTTCTATCGCACGGTCTTAAGCCTCGTACACACTACTAGTTGTTTTCATACATCGGGCTGAACGAAAAACCCTGACAGCTCAAGAGGACCATCCGCTGCTAACCATCTGATGTTAGTACAGCGATCTCCCCTGCTGTGCTGTTGTGTTCTGACAGGAGGGATGTTCTTCCCCCCCCACCAGAACACTCCGGTCAGCGCTCTCAGCCATTGGCTGATCTGGACCTGATCGGCAAACCTTTTTCGGTCAGGTCTCTTCGACAGAAGCCGTTCGAAAGGCTGGCTGCCGTACACACGGACCGAATGTTGGCCAGTTTCTATTGAACCAGCCGATGCTGCCCGACATTCAGCCCATGTACACTAGACTTTAATCAGTGCGATTTGAAGTAGTGCGATTTCAAAAATATTCTTGCACAACTTTTTTTCCAATTTCTTTACGACTTGCTTTGACTTCTGTTAAATTAAGTCGCAAGCCGCAGTGAAATCAGAGGTAAGAATAGCACTGATCTGTGGCTTTGAAATCATGCTACTTTAAGTGAAGTCGCATTCAGTGTGAACCAGGGCTAAATGAGTCAAAGTATATGTGAACCGTCGCCTTGTAAAACCACCCATTCAGTTTAACCACTTGCCTACCAGGCATTTATACCCCATTCCTGCCCAGGCCTATTTTCAGCTTTTAGCGCTGTCGCAATTTGAATGACAATTGCACAGTCATGCAACACTGTACCCAGTTGAAATCTTTATCAATCTTTATCTGGGTGATTTATTTTTTTTTGCACTATAAACAAAAAAAGAGCAAAAATTTTGAAAAAAAAAGGTTTTTTTTTGTTTTCTATTATAAAATTTTGCAAACAGGTAATTTGTCTCCTTCACTGATGTGCATTGATGAGGCTGCACTGATAGGCAGCAAGGATGGGCACTGATAGTTGGCACTGATGGGTAGCACTGACTGACGGCACTGGTGGACCCTAATGGGTGGCACTGATGGGCAGCACTGATAGATGGCACTGCTGGGTGGCACTGATAGGCGGCACTGCTGGGCACAGGTGGGTGGCACTGCTGGGCACAGGTGGGTGGCACAGGTGGGTGGCACTGCTGGGTACTTGTGGGAAGCACTGATGATCGGTGCCGATCCGTCCTCTGGCAATTGCTGGTTACACTGTTCAACAAATTTTTATTTTTTGCCAGTTTTGGAAACAAAAGGATCCATTTCTTAATGAATTTCACATTCTGAGTTCAAATATAACAATGAAATTTGTCAATTGGCTCTAGTTTTTCTGTAAACGGAAAGTTTTCTACTATAGGCGTAATGACTACATAATGCACAATAATTATATAGATAGATGTCTTTCCACAAATATAAAGCAAGTGATATTGACTACATAACAAAGCCTAAATGGCATAATATATTGCATAGGATTACCAAGAAAAATTATAGCCATAAGCTAAGTTGAATCATTTTAATACTTAGGATTCTCACTAGTTTTGTCTTCAGTTTGTGTCGGTTTTGCTTCTCTTGGCTTTTCTCTTGTATTCGAGGAAAGGGCTATCTCTTACAACTGCACGTGACTACACGCTTCAGGTTCTTCCTCACTTGACTCAACCACGAAGGATTCTGGTGCTTTAGGAATATGTAGCCCCTCTCCATGAGGAACTGGACGTATTGCCGATGGAATATTTGGATAGTGCACAGATAACTTTTTCTTCTTATTTAGCCCTTTTACAATTGGAGGCACCATACACAAAAGTAACAATTACTAACATGATCTGTTGGCTCTCTCCAAATCATTGGCACAGCGAAAGGCATAGATGCCTTTTTTTCCATTCAACCATTGCTCCAGTGCCGTCCCACAAGAATTGCAGCATATATGTGGTGCCCAGCTCTTGTCCTGGTCTCCTATCTTGCAGCCAAAATACAAGTTGTAGGCTTTCTTAATCATTCCTGTTATCCTCCTTTTTGTGAGATAAAAGTTATTTCACCGCAGATATAGCAGAAATTATCTGCATTATTCACACAAGTTCGAGGCATTACTGAGTAGCCTATATAAGCATAAAACGAAATGTAAAGACGCTGTCGAACTCCAATCAGCTACAGATACTGCAGCTTTTATGCAGTGAAGTGATGCAATTAAAGGCTAATATTGCATCATCTCAGTATACATGCAATTTTCTATTGGTCACCAGTATCAATTGTGCAATATGCAGCTGAAGTTGCATCATAATTTTGAATGGCTTACGTCATTAGATGGGTGAATATATCATGGAAACTAGAGCCAATCAACATTTTTTAGGGTCATTTTCGTTTTCAGCACCCCAAAATTATGTAAGATTAGCTAATTTTATGCCCAAAACTTTTTACCTGTTGAACAGTGTTATCAGTTGCGCTGTGACAGTGTGAGGAAAGTGCAGCAGATAACTGGCAACTGCATTTACCGGTGCTCTGCTGTGTCATTGGACACGGCTGATCACGTGGTAAAAGACTGCTGTGATTGGCCTTTTACCACATCACATGATCAACTGTGTCCGTCAGACACAGTGATCATGGAGATCGCCGGGTGTGCTCCCCCGCGGGGAGCGGGAGGGTGCGTTCTGGGAAGACGTCCTATGACGCCCTTCCAGAACTAGACAACCATGCTGTAGTGCGGTTGGCAAATGGTTAAGATAGAAATGAAACTGCTGCACACTGATCATCTCAGTGAATACGTGTGTGTGCGTGTGTACGGGGGGAGGAGGGGGGTGGCACAAGTCAGATCATTGGATTGGTTCCAAGCACAGCCAAAAAACTGACCTTGCTGTGCCTAGTGTGGTCAGTTTTTAATAGGAAAGCAGAGGGACTGGCAGGAACACCAGGGATTTTACACAAAGGAAGCAATACAAAGAACAGGAGACTTTTTCATACAAGTACATGGTACAGCAGGCACATATCTGGAATATGAAATGCTGAGTTTACACATTCTTGAAGTCTGTAGATTAACCATGACATGTTAATGAGTTGCCTCTGTATATGAGCATTGAAGTATTTAGTCAGTTATGAAGTGTTATCCATATACTAAAGGTATTTAAAGGTAACATGATTTGATATAGTTACCTAGTCATAGATACCTCTTAAGGAGTCCCTGTCATGTCTCTGAAGAAATCAAAAAAGGCATTCCATGGAGGGGTAGAGGTGTCATACTCGCCTCTCCAGTGGGCCATGCACTGGCTGTGTGGTCCATGTGACAACAATCTCCCATATTCGTCATAGGTCTGGACTATGGGCAGGGGTGGACTGACAACTCATGGGGCCCCCGAGCAATAGGGGATCATGGGGCCCCTGTGTCCTTGCCCAAACTCAAAAAAGCCTATGAAAAAGGTACCAGGGGCATCTCATGGGGCCCCCTACTGACCCTGGGCCCTCAGGCAGTGCCTGAGTTTCCAAATGGTCAGTCCGCCCCTGGCTGTGATGCACATGGAGAGAATTCATTACACTACACTGGACAAGATGCACTTATTTGATAGAAAATGGGAAATTTGGAAGACTCATAGGCATTTACTACATGATTAAGAAACATGGATTGATTGAATTACTCTGTCAGTAGCTGAATAATTCTGTATACCTTTCTATTTATATTGCTCATGTACTTAAGTTCTTTATTCTTTTTCTCTTTACCTTACATGATTGTACTTTCTGACATACACATTTCAGTTGTGCCTTGTTTCTGTTTTTTATATACTGTTTGAAGCTGTAATGCTACTTTACAGTCTATTTCTTGAAAAATAAAATCGTTTGTAAACAAATTGACATCATCTTCCTTGATTCAACTGCAATGATGAGAAAATTCAAAGGAGTCCATTCATAACAAAATGATAAGAGAAACAAAATTCTTTTAAACGATATTTGAATGTTTTGAACACTTTTGTACAAGTTTTTCCAAGACTTTTATTTTCGTTTGAAATTCCACCCATCATCGGCCAGTAACGTTACAATGTATTTATGAATAAACAGCAAAAAATGTTCAGACGAAGCTACGTTACATTCTAGCGAAACATGTTGACATCATACGTTACGTCACGTGCCGCCATCTTTTCTAATGGGAGCTGTGGGATGGACATTTGAAGCGCAGCACGGGCGGTAAAATTTTGAAGGATCCCTTTATCCTTATAGTCGGAGATAAGCTGAACCGCATACATCAAAGGACTATATATAGGGCCGGAAGATCGGTTATGAATGTAAAGTTCATGTATGGTCATTGGAAGAAACTTAGGGACTATTATTCCATCACGTTTGACATCGTAAAATATATTTGGATTGGGACTGATTCCACCATTCACATAAGGACAGTCTATTTTGTCAATCTTTACTTACTGCTCTACTTCTGCTGCTATGCATGTGCTGTCTAATATGCTTGCTATAGTGCTGCATGCTGCGTGCCCTTAAAGTGTTACTAAACCCCAGACCCTGCATTCACTACTATATCTGGTCTCCCCGGACCCTGCATTCACTACTATATCTGGTCTCCCCGGACCCTGCATTCACTACTATATCTGGTCTCCCCGGACCCTGCATTCACTACTATATCTGGTCTCCCTGGACCCTGCATTCACTACTATATCTGGTCTCCCTGGACCCTGCATTCACTACTATATCTGGTCTCCCAGGACCCTGCATTCACTATATCTGGTCTCCCCGGACCCCGCATTCCATATATCTGGTCTCCCCGGACCCTGCATTCACTATATCCGCTCTCCCCGGACCCTGCATTCACTATATCCGCTCTCCCCGGACACTGCATTCACTATATCCGCTCTCCCCGGACCCTGCATTCACTATATCTGGTCTCCCCGGACCCTGCATTCACTATATCTGGTCTCCCCGGACCCTGCATTCACTACTATATCTGGTCTCCCTGGACCCTGCATTCACTATATCTGGTCTCTCCCCAGACCCTGCATTCACTATATCTGGTCTCCCCAGACCCTGCATTCACTATATCTGGTCTCCCCGGACCCTGCATTCCCTATATCTGGTCTCCCCGGACCCTGCATTCACTATATCTGGTCTCCCACAGTACACAGAACATGGAAATTAAATTATTTTAGTAAATATAAACTGCTAAATACCTTTTCTCATCAGCAGTTAGAGCAGTCTTAGGACTTCTATCAGTGTTCAGCAGAGCACTGATTAAAGCTTGTAGGAGGAGTTTTCATTCTGCTCTAGGAGGATGCAGAAACCTGACCTCTGTCTGGACAGTGCTGGTTGGCCCTGCTCTGATCACATGCACTCTCCCAAGAAAAAAAATAACCTCTCTAGCAATACACACCAAACTGAGCATGTGCAGTGTCTCCACACCATATATCTTATCTGGAGATAAGAGGGGGACACTGGAAGAAGGAGAGAAGACAGGATCAAACAGCCTGTTTACAACATGCAGAGGATTAACCCCTTAGGTTCCACAATGAGTATAACAAGCACGCTTTACTGCATATACAGACTGATTGTACTGTTGTGGGTTTAGTAACACTTTAAGCATTTGCTTTAGCTGTGTTCAGGTTGAGGACTAGAGGTTACCTGCTATTCGTCATTTCCATTATTCCCGATGGAAATTTATATGTAAGGACTTTAGATTAGAAAAGTACTCCTTAGGGATATGAATCACCAGGAAAAGGAGGAATGGATTCCATTTAATACCTGACCGGGACTAACACATTCATCCCTCCTGAGCCACATATCTTTGATAAAGTCATTGATAACCAGTGTTGATTGAACATCAGTTCCTTACGTTGTAACATTGGATCTAATATTGATATATTGGCCACAACTAATTCTCAATAACCAATACATTGCAAATACCTAGCTGACTGGTTTATTGATCACTATATGTGGAAAAGTGGCGCGGTATAATCCTTTGTATGCAGGGGCGGACCATTTGGAAACTCAGGCATTGCCCGAGGGCCCAGGGTCAGTAGGGGGCCCCATGAGATGCCCCGGTACCTTTTTCATAGGCTTTTTTGAGCTTGGGCAAGGACACAGGGGCCCCATGATCCCCTATTGCCCGGGGGCCCCATGAGTTGTCAGTCCGCCCGTTTGTGTGGTTTTGACTTGGGCGTCCGGACAGAATTTGTGTATGTGTTTCAGGTCATTTATTTGTGTCTTGTTTGTTTGTCTATAGTCAAGTGTTTTTTTTAACACGTCTGAAGCCCATCAATGCTTTTTTTTCACACTGGTGATTTTTAAATGTATTTCTGCCTTTTTAGAATTAAACATTTTGATAGAATATTTGAATAATAATAGAATTAAAATCTTTTTGTATACCAGTCTCCATTTTTGTCTTCGAAAGTAACCCCTATGCCCCATCTATGGCGTTTTTTTTTTTTTCTCTTTATTAGTGTTCAAAGGGTTACGAAGATTTACCAATTTTATTAGGTAGGGGTAAACTGGTAAAATTATGTCAGATTAATTAACCTGATGCTTTTTTCTTAGCAGTATTTATGAATAATGTACAAAAATTAAAAGAGAAAATGATCCTACCAAGCTTATGTCTTAGAATGTGTAGATAAAGGGAGGAGAGCTCACCACAAAATCCAAGATCAAAAATATTTCGCACATAAAAAACGGCTTTTGCACAACATCTCAGATACAAAATATTTGAAATATCAAGAGAAAAATCTCATTTGTAATCAAAGTATTGACAGAGATCATTGACAGCAATAATGGACTTTTATTAATTAAAAATAACACACAAACACAATTACATAAAACCCAATATTAAAAGAATGTTCTCTGGGTCAGAGGTAGTAACCCTGGATCTAATGAATCAAATGTCATTCATACAATATGCTTCATTAATAATCACACTCTATAGATATATTATTGATTGGACTGAGAGCTCTGAATAAAGCCCACAAATATTGTTTACATCCTTTATTCAAAAATACATCATAGCCATATTAACAAGACAGACTATCGTATATCTGGATAAACGTGGACATATACCCACATGAAAGAAAAATATATTTGAGATATATTTCAAAAATATTCCTCTCAAATATACTGACATATATTTGAAATGCTACAATTTCGGACATATTCAATATATATATATATATATATATATATATATATATTTGAAATGTATTTTTAAAAATATTTTTCATATATTTTGTAATAAAAATGCATTTCAACATGCAGTATATTTATATATATATATATATATATATATATATATATATATATGAAATGTATTTTTTAAAAATATTTTTCATAAATTTTGTAATAAAAATGCATTTTTAACATGCAGTGTATATGTGTATATATATATATATATATATATATATATATATATATATATATATATATATATATATATATTGCTTGTTGAAATGTGTTTTTATTACAATGTATATGGAAAATATTTTTAAAAATACATTTCAAATATACTGGGAATGATAGTAATAAATAGTAAGCGCTCATAAATAGTGCAAGCAGCTGAACATATAGGAAAACACATAATAAAAGTCCCAAAATACATATACAGAAGAAATGCAGCGCTCTAAAATTAATAATGGAAATAGTAGACACAGTCCAGTAAAACAACAGTGCTCCTTGTTTCCCAGTGTAAATGGTAGAATTTTGCACTAACCAGAACGCGCATGGGTAATGCGCATATATGTGTAATCCTGAAGATCCAGGTTTAAGTGGAAGATTTTTCTCCACTTAAGGCTGGTCAGGTATATGGCTTTGGAAGAATGGAGATCCTACGCCCTCATGTGGTGGGAAATGATCCAGCAGGTCAAAGCTATGACGATCCAGATGAGCCTCCACAGGTAACTGGCACAGGAATCCCAAGGGCTACAAGGATGGAAAAGCTCCTCACAGGAGACACAGGGGAGCACTCATAGTGTAGTAATTTAAAACTTTATTTGAAAGCAGCACAGGTGCAGAATACAGGAGAATAGCCAAGTAAGCAAAACACACACTGACCCTTTAGATGTCAAAATGGCCGCCAGGGCCTCCTTCGTGGCACCGGCGGCTTAATGTCAACGGCGTCCTAGGGTCCCATCCTGACGCGTTTCGTGCGCACGCACTTCCTCAGAGGTGGAAGTTCCACCTCTGAGGAAGTGCGTGCGCACGAAACGCGTCAGATGGGACCCTAGGACGCCGTTGACATTAAGCCGCCGGTGCCACGAGGAGGGGCCCGGCGGCCATTTTGACATCTAATAGGGTCATGTGTTTGCCGAATTACTTGGCTATTCTCCTGTATTCTGCACCTGTGCTGCTTTCAAATAAAGTTTTAAATTACTACACTATGAGTGCTCCCCTGTGTCTCCTGTGATGAGCTTTTTCCATCCTTGTAGCCCTTGGGATTCCTGTGCCAGTTCCTGTGGAGGCTCATCTGGATCGTCATAGCTTTGACTTATGCTGGATCATTTCCCACCACATGAGGGCGTAAGGATCTCCATTCTTCCAAGCCATATACCTGACCAGCCTTAAGTGGAGAAAAGGATCTTCAGGATTTACACATATATGCGCATTACCCATGCGCGTTCTGGTTAGTGCAAAATTCTACCATTTACACTGGGAAACAAGGAGCACTGTTGTTTTACTGGACTGTGTCTACTATTTCCAATATTAATTTTAGAGCGCTGCATTTCTTCTGTATATTTCAAATATACTGTATGTCTTTAAAAATACAAATCTACATTTTTGGAATGCATTTACAAATATATGTAAAAGTATATGTTAAAATTTTTTTATATCTTAAAAATACCTGAAGAATATATTTAAAAAAATATTTTTTTAAAAAAATTGTCATGGTAATCGTTTACTGAATGTAGTATAAACTTGTGGTGCTCTCATTCTTTACATGCTGTTTCGACCACTCCAAGCAGATAGGTATTTGAAAAGGAGGTGGGGGGGGGGGGGGGGGCAGCAGCTGCTAAAGTCGATTTTTGGCTTTAGGTCCGTTTTAAGTGCATTTTTACATACATTAAAAAGCATTCAAGCAGGGGTGGACTGACAACTCATGGGGCTCCCGGGCAATAGGGGATCATGGGGCCCCTGTGTCCTTGCCCAAACTTAAAAAAGACTATGAAAAAGGTACCAGGGGCATCCCATGGGGCCCCTTACTGACCCCGGGCCCTCGGGCAGAGCCCGAGTTTCCAAATGGTCAGTCCGCCCCTGCATTCAAGGTTTATGGGTACATGCGTTTACTTGCATGTTATAATGCATCTCCAATATGTGGTGGGATAGTATAGTTTTATAACGGGGCAAGCTAAATGTTTTCAAAAGTCATCAAACGGAAGTGCACCAGTATGAACTTTACCACTGAAGACAGCAGTATGGAACTCTTGGGTGCAACAACTGAAAAAAGGTGACAGGTCCTCACGATTATTTTTTAATGGGCTGCAACTTTATTATTGTACTGAGCGCATGGATTCTGCAGAGTAAACCTGACCTGATGAAACTGGTTATTTTACCAGTTAGAAATATAAAAAAAAAAAGTAATAATAAATATATAAATAGGCTTTCAGGAAAAAATACAATAAATATGAATATTTTACATTTCCAAAAATCTTTGCATTGTGCATTATAGCGTTGCTGTATTTGATAGCTCTTTGGTTTTTAATGCTCTTATTATGCAATAACAATACACTCCACATAAGTTTTAATGACCTGCAAATTATAATTGCTCAATGTGCAAAAGTACACAAAAAATTTTTATCCCCTCTCTGCATAAGCTGAACAGAAAATCATACTTACCTTTCAGATGTCAGAGGGGAGGCTGGCTCTGAGTTCTCTTAGAGACAGAGAGAGAAGTCTTACCTTGCGTATTTTCACTGATCACTTGGACTTTGGTTGGTCAAAGGTTGATTTAAAAGATGATCTATTTAACTCTACTCCAGTGGATAACCTGCAATTTATATTTACCTGGATCTGATCATGCTACATTTTTCTTGCTTGGTATATTTTATAGATATTTGCTACATATGATTTTATATGAGCAGTTGTTACAGAGCAGCTCCCCTGGATTTTATCAAATACATCTCCCATAAGGTAGTACTGTCCTTATTACCAAATGTACTTTTTTGTAACATATTTGGTTGCTGGGGAGGTGAC